CTGTTCCACTTTGGACCACAATTTTGATTCCTTGTGTTAAAGATGTTAAAATAAGTATGCAAGACAATTGTATATCTTGAATAACTGTCCAGTCTCCTTTACCCTCGATTTCTTTAGTAAATGTCCTTTCCACTTTGAAAAATATACACATATAAGTGGGGCAGATTCCCATCAGTTGATGTCAGAGTAGTAAAAGGCTAAAAAATGAAGGTATTCAGATGTAACAACAAAACCAACCTGCTGTGACCAGGTGGTTGGTGGGGCTGACTGTGGGAAACAAGGTGCTCCCCCTCTTAGGAATGTAAGAATCTTCTAAAGTCACACTCTCAAAAACATTACTCTCTCTTCTAAAATATTGTTAATACTATGGTTTTAAACACCTTCACTGACAGCTGCAGCAGAAAATCACAATTGCCTTTCAGTTGTCCCCCAAAAAAGAAGGCTAACTCAGATCTGCAGTGGAAAACTTTTTAAAACTACCTTTCTCAGCTTGGTGTTGGCTTCTCATCCTCTGTCTCTCCTCACAAAACATGTTTTGCATCACTGCCAAAGCTGGATGTTTGGTCAAATGTGACAACATATTATGAAGCATTTTTGGCTGCTGGAATCTTTTGGAAGATCTGGTTGTCAGCAAAAGACAGTGAACAGCACACTTCTCTCCTGTAGCTGAACACAACCTCCATGTGCCATTTTTGACATGATCTCAGTCACAACTAGTGTGGGTCTTCCTAAATATTAAGGACTTGTATGTCCACTGTCAACCCATTCCCCCATCCCGACATTAAAGAGAGAAATTGTGATATTTCCTCATGATGCTTGAGAGCACAAATCACAGAGAAATGTTAAGTAACATCTACTACAGATAGACCATGTTGTCATCACTAAACTCCACACTATTCCTTCTGACCTTTATATTCATACTTCTTCAACAGTAGATGTAAATCTTTATCACTTAAAGCATTTGGGCCACACCCAAAAGTTTTAATAAACAAACACATAAAAAGTATTCTTTCACAAATTTTCTCTTAGGGTCCAAAACAGTAATAATGTTATTTTTTCTTACCGTTAGGGTCTGGAGCTTGCTGTATGTGTCTTCCTCCATGTTTTGCCTGATTCATCGTGTTGTTGTTGTTGCTGAAAGTCTGCTCCATCGGTGGTTCTGTGTTCTCAGTGATTTCAGGAATGATTTCTGTAGCATCATTTTTAAACACCTGCCACCCTTGCACAGATCGAGATGCGATTTGTGCCAAGACACAGACAGCACACACAGCCCAAGAGACCTGCATGGTGGCAGCTCACAGATCAGCTTTTCAGCACCCTGACAGCTTCAGATCCAAGGCAAAGGCACATTATTCCCCTTTTTAAAATCCTTTTTAGAACCAAGCCAGCCAATGGCTATACGAAGTGGGAAGGGCCAGACCACGACTCATTCATCTCAGCTTTTGTCAGTGTGAAATAAAATGGGTGTGTGGGGGTGGGTTAGTGACAATATTCGACAACTCTTATGCAAAAACTTCTCATATTCACTCCATTTCTGTGCCTGGCAACAAATGGTGATTGACAAGACTTGGATGAATTGAAACCCAACAAGTCTTTTCTGCAGCTTTTTTTTCTAACAATGTTATAATTAAAAACTGCTTCTTCCTCCATCCATGTTTGAATTTTTGGCTATTGTCTTTTCCAAAGGTTTTTCAGACTTTTTACTTTTGCTCTTGCTATTCCTCCTCCCCTTGCTGGCTGTGTAAAGTAAGTAAATCTAGAAACTGTAGCTCAGTAGTTCTGCTTGTCAGTCTCTGCAGGGAAATGATTGGACTTGGGGTACCTTTTTTTCTCCCTTCCAAAAAAAGGAGCTCTGCATTTTGTTTCACAAATACAGTGTAAGAAACAGGGAAGAGCTTCATTTCAATGTGAGAAGCTGTTTTGTTTAGTTTTTCCTAAAAATAGCTATTTGGAATACGTTTTTCAGGGTAAACAGCCAGGATGTTGTACATCATACTTTTTGATGTGCTCTCTCTTACATTTTTAACACTTGGATAAAACACCCCAAACAAACAAATGTTTACATTTGCTTTATATTCAGTGCATACTACTACTTCTGCTGATGTTCTATGCAAATGTGGAATACAGGACATTTGCTTATTTTAAACACAAGAACACGACCAGACTGATTTCCAGTCATGATACAACCAGCAGAAAGAAAGATCTGATGACCTTATGTCTGGGGCATCTATGCCCAAGATGCATTCAGGTGTCATGTTTTAAAATCTCATCTGTGGCAGTCTTCCTTGTCTAAAAGAAATCATGCATTGTGTTACATACAACAATGTACCCCTACTGTCAGTTCCCCTTCCTCCTTTCCCATCTCAGAAATTACTCTGTTTTCATGGAGGAATACAACATAGTGTTTTCTTTTTTACAAGATTTTTTCCTCCTCAGCCAATTGGGGTATCATTCTTTAATACAGACTGCTGCCAAGTAACTTGCCTCTGGTATGCTGACAACAAAAACATCTCTGTGTTATTATCACTGTGTTTAGCAGAAATCCAGAACAGAGCCCCACAGCAGCTACTAGGAATAAAATTAACTGTACCCCAGCCCAAACCAGCCCACTCTGCTAAGAAGGAATCAGACACATTAGGGGAGCAGGCACAAGGGGTGAACTGGCATCATGTACTTTGCCTGAATCTGCTGCTGCTGCTTCCTGACTCAGGCATCTGTCCCAAAGTGCTTGCACTGCCAAACCAGTTTCTGAAATTGGTTCTGTCACTTCTAACTTCAGGTGCTCACTCTGTCCACACCTGGGCCAAAGGGGTTCTGTTCTGTATCCAGGCCCTAAGATGTGAGTGTTCAATTTAAGCTTATCTGTGGTCAATGGCTCATATTTCACACACTGCCCAGGAATTTTGTACTTAAGAAGGGGGAGTGAATATTTCTTGAAGTTATTTCAAACTTAGAATTATAGCATCCAAATGCAGGACTAGCAGCCACAATATGTTTTATTGTAATTCCATTTTGGGATGCTAAGCCTGTATTAGAACTGGACACTCTTTTCTCCTACAACGTGATTATGCTTGGTGATGTGAGTGATGTGAGAATTAATTAATCTGCATAAAAGGCCTTGGAGATGAAAAGCACTGCATGTAAGAACACTGCAAGCTCTCTGAGTTGAAAAACAAATTTGTGTCAATATATCTTCCTCCTTCTCAGCAAAGAACAACAGCAGAAAGGATACTAGCCCAGTTTTTAACATGATAAAGAACTTATTTGCTTCTCAAACAGGTTTTCTTCTAAGATGCTGCTAAGACAGTCTTGCTCATGGAACTTTTATGTGTCTCATAAGAATTTTGCTGTGTCACATATCACAGTGAGAATACAGCAGCCTGAATGCTGCTGTGTGATCTCATGCAAGCAGCCAAGAGTAAATGGAATCTTAGTATTCTCCCACCAGAGTCTGATAAACCATCCTGGTGGCTTGCCTTTTTCAGTGATAAGCACACACTGCATTCATACAATAGTATTGTTCAGGGACCCAGTGATGACTAGGGAAGAATAACAAGCCTATAGCTCCATCTGGTGAGTCAGCCAGCCAGCAACATGATCCATTAATGGAGCACTGGGCTGACATTCTAACTATTTTTAGCCTACTCTAAAAGCAGAGATAGAAATGGTTTCATTTCTGAGTTGCCTATCAGTAGTTTAAAATAGGACATATTGTCTCAATTTGTAAAATCAATTTATAACATGGTCTTACTTATCCTTCTCCATCCTCATATTACAAAACATTGGTTCAATCAGTTTTATTATACTGAGACAAATGGGCCGGAGTGCCACTGAAGTTACCACTAAAGTGAGTGTTCTGTGAAGTAAAAGGGTATCTTGAATATAAAAACATTCCCCAATGTCTTGATTTGTTCTTGATACTGACAAGTACAAAAATATTGCCATAAGGTGAACAGACTCAACATTAATAAACCACTCTGGCTTTAATCTGACAACTCCTATCATCTTACAATTTATGGAAGGGTAACAAACTTCTAATGCCTAATGGTTTCTTAGCTCTTTAATGGATTGGAACTTTGACTTCCAAGTAACAGGTAAAAGACAAAGTGACTGCACATGAATCTCCATTTTTTTCCCTTGTAGTGTAGACAGGTATTAAGAATACATGGTGTGAGACAAGACCAAAAAAAAAATAAAAATCTATGCTCATAGTAAAAATTTTAAAAGGATAATTTATAAATAAGACTGCAGTAGGAAAAAGTCAGTATTGTAGAAAAGATAAGGCCAATATTCTATTTCCCAATCCACCCAGCATGAAATCAATAACTAGGAATTTTGAAGAAGCAATTAATTTAATCCTGATAAAAGGGGAGAAAGCAAGCAGGTATGTAATTAGCCCATGGAATTGATTACTGCTTGTTATTACTGAACCATCCTGATTCAAAGCAAGCACTGAATACTGACTGACTGTAGAGGGGTGACAGGAAACATTATGTAGAGTGTTCCCCACAAAAGAGAAAAGGTTACTTGATTTGGCAGTTCCATCCTGTTCAAGGGAACAGAATAAGGCTGGTCTTCAAGCAGAACAATCACCTCTGGAGTTTAATTTCAATAAAGCTACACAGAACTTTCCCTTGCCACTCCCCCCTCCCCAAACCACACAACCCCAATAACCAGAAGTAAAACAGTGTATGATCTTTGTGATTTTTGATTACTGAACTGAGTAGACAAAACTAGCTCTGGGGTTACACGTGGTACTAACACGAAGAGTGTTTCTGTTTAAAGTAGGGTTAAGATTTTTCAGTGTAGAACTACATTGAAGCACAGGCTAAAAGGGGAACACCCTGGTTTCTGTTAGTTTAACCAACAATTCCAAGTTTGCAGTGGGAGATCCTTTGCATTAATACAGTCCTGCAACTCACAGGTACATATTTAAACACTAAGTCAGGCACACTGTAAACACAGCTCCCTCTCCCAACATTGCAATGACTCAGCTCCTCTGTATGCCAAACACAATCCAGACATCATTTATTTTAACAGAAAGTAAATATTTCCTATACAGTGTGGTATGTTACAATTCTCATTTCTGTTTAATGACGCCATGCAAGCAACCTAAGAAGTCGAGTATACTTCTGAAAACTGCTTTGAAAGCACACCTGTGCTGCCCTGCTGGAAGTATGTGTGCTCATTCTATTCTATGTTGATAAACAGTGATAGTAAATAAGGAATAAAGACACTTTGAAAGCCATCACATTCTGATACTTAGGACTTTATCATACATCCAGTACAAGCACTTCTAAATACAAACATTTTCTCTTCCTTGCTCAAGTCTTTTCCTCAGCATTTGCTGTTGACATTTTTTCTAGTATGACTTCAAAACAAAAATAAAAGGGCATTTAATAACACACTATTTTGTGTCAATCACAACAGCAAGAGGTACAACTGTTCTTGGAAATACAGTGTGCATCAAGAATGGGCTCTGAATGGCTTTACTATCACACACTGTGTATTGCATAAATCCACACTAAACACTGCATACACTTCATTTTACAAACCAGTGCATCTGTGCATAAATATACACACTTCTCCATTCCTTTCAGCTCCTACATTCAAACATCAGGCACCTCTGTGCACGAAAAAAGAAGCTTTAGAAATTACAGTGCTTGTTTTAAGAGTGAGTGAAGAGACGTGTCGGGGCTTTCAGAAACTCGTGCTCTGGTGAGACACAAGACAAAGCTTAACTGAATCACACTCAGTGTCAATGCAAACCACATATGCTATGGAGTCTTCAGGGGCTCTGACATACACGTGAAGACAGCTGTTATCACTGGAGTTATCCCTCTAAAAACACCTCTTTATTGCAACAGCTCCCAAACGGTGACACAATTTCGCGCCACCTCAGTCCCAGAGTTCAAGAACGACACTTCCACCGGACGAGCAGGAATCCTGTCTCTCTTTAGCTTGGTGGTTGGGGTTTGGGGGGGCTCTCTAAAGCACCTAAAATGTCCTCTAAAGGTCTGAGAAACTTAAAAAAAAAAAGCACTACAGCTCTCTCCCCATCTTAGGGCTTCAGCTTGCCCTCCTTCACCAGCCGCTCGTTGAGCTGGCAGAGCTGCCTCAGGAAGCCGTCGTTGGGGCCGATCTCCCGCTTCTGCCGGACCGTGCAGAGGGCAGTCCTGACGTCCATGTTCCGCCGGAGCATGAGGTAGGCGATGACCAGCGTGGGGGAGCGGCTGTAACCCTCCCGGCAGTGCACGAACACCTGTCCTGCGGGGACACGCGTGGGGATGGGGTTATACCACTGATAGGGTTGGAAGATGGCTCCCTGCCAAATCTCCAACCCTTACCACAAGAAGTTGTGTGTGTGTGTGTCTCCAACCCTTACCACAAGAAGTCCTGTGTGTCTGTGTCCCCCCTCCACCAAACCTCAGGGAGAAGAGGGGAAAAACCAACCAAACGAGACAGAGACGGCTAAAGCAATATATATAAATATATTCACACTTATGTTACAGTTATATACAACTGAAATATGATGCCTTAAGCCCCTAATGTTTTTTTCTTTTTTTTTCCTAGTATTTGTAAGCCTTTTAAGTTTTATAAGTAGATTTTAAAAGCAGCAACCCTTCCTCCCTTGTCCCTTTCCCTCTAGCACCCTTAGCCTACACATTCCTTAACCCTCTTACCCCATTCTATGCTCCCTATATCAATCACCCTGGAGGAGAAAAGACAAGGCAGAAAGAATCGTGCCCTGCAGAATGTACCGCCTAAGGAGTCTTTCTGCTGTGCCTTTTGCAACCAGACTTGTCTGTCTTGTATTGGCCTTTTCAGCCACCAGCGTGCCCTCCCCAGATCTTCGTTCGTGAAGCCTGGTCATGAAAGCAAAATAATGTCAGTCCTTTTGCAGCTGGTGAGTTCCACCAAGCTGGATGTAAAATTTACTTCCACATCACAGATCCAGTAACCCTTTGCCTGTTTTAGAGAAAGAACTTCTAGAATTGTTGGACTACTCATCCCTCCTTTTTCACGCTCAACCATGAAGCAAGTGTAGAAATAACTGGTATGTTGAAATAGTCAGATGATGACAAACACCATCTGTCCCACTGCACTATGTCCCAGGATTTCTGCTCTGGGGAAATACACTGTAGAGAAATGTGGCAATCAACAACATTGCAAATATAATCTCCAGTTTTCCTGCAATCCTATGAAATAAAGAGGTAATCAACACATAAAATAATATAATGACTTAATGTAGTAAAAACTGCAAGGTGACAGTCCCTATCCTTACTGTACATTTAGAAAAAACCCACACAACAGGTTATGTGAATATTCTTCAGCAGTGCATTACTTGTATCACTTCTGCCCTTGAATTTTAAGATCCAGTGTCCTAAACCAACTTTTAGACACTGAACTTACTTTTTAAAACTATTTTTCATGTAATTTAACACTTCTAAGGAAAAATAAAAACATATTTTCCCAGATAGGAACTATTATAAGCTGCAGCAGCTGTTCCCCTTTTCAAAGGCACCCCTACAGAGACAAGACTTCCCTTTACCACATACTGGAGACCTACAGGTATGAACAGAACACTAAGTTGTCTTTTTCTGTATTCTTGTGTCTTTGATCCAGGGCCTTGATCTGAATTCTTGCCAATGGCTGTTCTGCTGGTAATCTGAGCAAAGAACCATTTTAAACAGCAAATTGCTAAGAAACACATGCAGTGCACAGAAACCAGGGCAGGAAGATATCTCAGTTTGCCTTACCATCCTTCTGGGCAAGTGCCTTCTCAATAAAATCAGCTGCCTCCTCAAAATAGCGACTGAGGTTAAATTCCTGTGTGTCATTAGCTTTAATGCCATGGTATCTGATGCCTGTGCCTTCATAGAACTCTGCATTAGTGTTCACATGCATGAATGATTTCCCCTCTGCTGCATTCAGGACGTGGGTTATCCCCAGACGCTGCAGCCTCATGATGTTCTTGGCTATGAACCTGTGTGACAAAAAGCGTCAAGGAAACCATTAGAATTTGGCAAATCATCTCAGTATTTATGATGCTTTTTCTGTTAACAGATATCAAATATATTGTGCCCAGAAGTGAATGAGCTGCAGATTAAAAATTACCAAAAATATTTAGAGCCACGGTCTCACACTTTGTGAGAGAGGTAGGCTAGACAGACATAAATACCTTTACTGTTTATAAAAGCAGCCTTTAATATGTGTCTACTGGATGCAGAAACAGAAATATTCTGGAAAATCTTCCTACAGCTCAAGTCATAAACTGCAAATACGAGTCTTAACATTAAGCTGAACTCCAGAGAAGCTTTTATGTAGTATTATTTTGGACAAGTTTCTGTGAGATGGCAGTGCACCTAAGGCTTTTGGCTGGACATGTAGGTATTCTGAAATTTTAAAATAAATACCCAAATTAGTTGGTTTATAGCTACACGAATCTCTGAGTGCATTCACTCACAATTTTCATGTAATTCAAGGCTATGAACATCATGAGTGTTCCTTTGCTCCTGATGACTCTTCACCCCTTAAATTTCAGTGTAAGCAGATGAATCCTGATGCATGAGTGAAGCTCCTACATTTTCTGCTGTCTGTGCCAAGCAACTATGGCAATGAGCCAAATATTTGTAAGACTTCATTACCCAAACAAATGTTGACAGATTTTCCATCTGGCAGGACATCATCTGTGCCATGGTACAAGTATCAGTGTCTGGGGAATTCTGCTTGCAACACAAAAATCCTATACAGTGCAAGGCCAAACCAAAAAGTGTTAATTCAACTGGGAGTTTCTACACTTACTAGGGTGAGTACATGGTTTAATTAATATTATATAGATCAGCATGTTTCTGATAGTGGTCAGGATCAATAGGAACTTCAATCCTGGAATCATGGAAGAATCTGGCAACACAGACTGCCCCCCCTGGAGGCAAACTCATTCCCAGTGAATGATTTTTGCAGATTTTATAGATTATTTTCTTACACAGCTAGAGGTGAAAAAGACTGTATTTGTATGCCATTTGTTTCTCCCTTTCCAAACAGTCCTTGGATCTCTCTCATCCTTAACATTTCATTCCAGCTGCATCATGTTCAATGTTGAAATGCTAGCTTCTCCAAATAGCTGAGAGATGCTAACATCAGCTTCATCTGGTTCCTGAAAAAAAATCACAGAATCTTGTCCATTCTCAACATGGAAGATTTAGAGTTCCTCATCCCACGAGTAACACTAGTAAGAGGTGTTTCTTTTGAACAGGGATGAATTATTTTACCAGGCACAAAAGTCTTGGAGAACTATTCATCAGCAATTAAGGGGACATGAAGCTATAAACCAATGCCATATGGGATTACAAGCAAAGAGACCAAGTCTTTAATGGTAAAAATGCCAGCATATTAACATATTTTATTTTACACTGTTATGTTCATGCAAAATTGTTTCCTCACCAACACTTCCCTTACAGTCACTAAATCTAATATTAATTTTGGGAGAAGGCCTTCCATACTCCTTACAACACAGCTGCAGTTCTAGCACATTAAGAACAAAGAACAAGTTACCCACACACATTAAAGCAGACAGGAAAACTAAGGCTGGGCATTCATAACCAGGACATTTTTACCAAATGGGGTTTGGGAATTCAACAGGGTGCCGAACGCTGTAGGAGATGCCATTTATGAGCTGTCCTAACGTTTGCGGTGTCAGTCACCGGGAGGAGCTCAGAGAGCGGACGGGCTGGGCTGGACAGGAGGACTGA